TCCCAGCTGCTGGGGAGGCTAAGGCAGGAGAATAGCTTGAACCCAGAGATTGCAGTGAGCTGAGATTGCACCACTGCACTCCAGCCTGGGCAACAGAGCAGGACTCCATCTCAAAATAAATAAACAGAAAATAAACAATATTAAGAAGTCATATTGTCTAGAATTGGTCATTTCTAGGTGTCATGGGGTTTGGGGAAAATCCAAAATGGTTGACAGATCATTCTGAGGGATGGCATGAAAGGGGGTACTCTTTCCCTAGATGGGGGCTACAGGAAAGCAGGAGGTTTATGAGAAAAATAAGTTTTGAGTATTTTGTATTTCAGATGTTTGTGGCACGTTCAGACCTCAGATGCCTCTGGAATATCATGCTTATGGAGTGGAGATTATTAACCACAATCTTTAAAAATAACTGCTTCTTTAAACATGCGTATATGAAAATTGTAGTGAGTTCAGTGATGTCTCATATCCTTTGGTAGAAAAAAATGCAGAAAATTTATGTATGACACATTTCTCTTTGACTCTTGCACTTTCTTCTTCTTCTTTTTTTTTTTTTTTTCGGTAGAGACGGGGTTTCACTATGTTGGCCACGATGGTCTTGATCTCTTAACCTCATGATCCGCCCACCTCGGCCTCCCAAAGTGCTGGGATTACAGGTGTGAGCCACTGGGCCCAGCAGACTCTTGCACTTTCATGGTATTCACTTTCTGTTCACCAAGGTTTACTTACTGATACCCTTCTCCCACTCTGAGGCTTTACCTATCCTGAAGTACATTAAAAAATATACCCATGTCAGAAACAGTTCCCAACTCATCCTATGAGGCCATTATTACCCTGATACTAAACCCAGACAGACATAAAGAAAATTACAGATCATCATCCCTTATGATTATAGATACAGAGATCCTGAGGAAATACTTCCAGACCAAATCCATCAACATGTAAAGGGTTATATACCATGTACAAATGGGGTTTATCCAGTAATGCAAGATTGATTTGACACACAAAAATTAATGTAATATGTGAATAGAAGAGGAAAGAAAACCACAACTATTTCAGTACACACTGAAAAAAGCATTTGACAAAATTTATACCCCGTCATGATTAAAAAGAAAACCCATCTAAAGTAGGAATAGAAGGGAAGCTCTTCAACCTGATAATGGTTATATGAAAACCCCACAGTTAATATTATACCTAATGATGTAAGACAATGCTTTTTCTCTACAATTAGTAATAAGACAAGGATGTCCAGTCCAGACTGGAGTTTTATTCAATCATACTGAAGATTCTAGAGCAGGGCAATTAGGCAAGAAAGGGAAATAAGCTGGGCGGGGTGGCTCATGCCTGTAATCCCAGCACTTTGGGATGCCAAGGCGGGCAGATCACCTGAGGTCAGGAGTTCGAGACCAGACTGGCCAACATGGTGAAACCCCTTCTCTACTAAAAATACACAATTTTGCTGGACGTGGTGGCAGGAGCTTGTAGTCGCAGTACTTGGCAGGCTGAGGCAGGAGAATTGCTTGAACCCAGGAAGCAGAGGTTGCAGGGAGCTGAGATGGCGCCATTGCACTCCAACCTGAGCAACAGAGTGAGAATCTGTCTCAAAAAAGAAAAAAAAAGGAAATAAAAGAGTATATAGGTTAGAAAGGGAGAAGTAAAAGTCTGTTTGTAAATGACATGATCTTGTTTGTAGAGCTTTTATATAGAAGATCTTTAGGAAGATCTAAATAACTAAATGAACTACATAAACAGTTCAGCACAGCTGCAGTGTACAAGATCGATATATTAAAATCAATTGTGCTTCTATACACTAGCAATGAGCAATCTGAAACTAATTAAGACTGATTCCATTTATAATTGCACTTAATAAAGGAATAAAACGAATAAATTTGACAAAAGAGAACAAAACTTGTGCTCTAAAATTATAAAACATTGTTGAAATAAATTAGATATGAGCTGAAAAATAGTACATATTTATGGATTAGAAGACTTAGTATTAAGATTGCAATACTCTCCAAATCTACAGACTTAATACAGTCCTTGTCAAAATCCCAGCTGACATTTTTGCAAAATGGGCATACTTAAAATTCATATGGCAATTCATGGAGCTCAGAATAGCCAACAGTCTGAAAAGAGACAAACAAATTAGAGTCACACTTCCTGATTTCAGAACTTACTACAAAGCTGCAGTAATTAAGATAGTCTGGTACTGGCATAGGTAGATCAACAGAATAAAAAGTCTGGAAGTAAGCCTTCACATTTACAATAAATTTATTTTTAACAAGCACCCAAGACACATCAATTGGGAAATAATGGTTTTTTTGACAAATGGTACTAGAACAGCTGGTTATCCACATGCAAAAGAATCAAGTTAGACCCTACTTCACACGATACACAAAACTAAATTGAAATTGGACAATAAACCTAAATATAAGAGCTAAAACTATACAAATATTAGAAAAATATTTTCAATCTTTATTACCTTGGGTTAGGCCAGCTTTTTGAGTATGACAAAAGAAAAATAACCAAGTTAGACTTTATCAAAATTAAAAACTTTTGTATTTCTAAAGATACCACCAAGAAAGTTAAAAGACAGCCCACAAAATGAGAGAAAACATTTTCCATTCCTGTGTCTGTTAAGTGTTTATCGAGTCCGCGGCGTTGGGCAACTGAGCACCAGGAGCTCACCAGCTGAGCTACGCGGCCGCCCGACTAAGTGTTTATCTAGAATATGTAACATAAAAACTCATACAACCTAATAAAAAAAAATCCAATTAAAAAATAGACAAAATATATGAAGAGACATTTCTCTAATGCAAATGGCCAATAATCACATAAAAAGATGCTCAATGTCATTAGTTTTTAAAGAAATGGATATCAAATCCACAGTTAGATATTACTTCACACCCACTAGGATAGCTTTAATAAAAAAATGGAAATATTGGCAAGGGTGTGGAGAAATGGGCTACCTCATCCATTGTTGGTGGAACTATAAAATGATCCATACCATTTAGAAAGCAGTTTGGTAGTTCCACAAATTGCTAAACATAAGAGTTACCACATAACCCAGCAAAGCTACTTCAAAGAAAAAGGAAAATATATGTTTACACAAAAACTTGCAGCTGAATGAATGTTCATGTTAGCATTATACATAACAGCCAAAAATTGGGACCAACTCAAATGCTCATCAACTGATGAATGGATAAACAACATGAGATATATTGCTACAAGGGACTGTTATTCAGCAATAAAAAGGAATTAACATGATGGACTTTGAAAACATTATGCTAAGTGAAAGAAGCCAGTCACAAAAAATTGTATATGATTATATTTATGTGTAAAGTCCAGAATAGACCAATTTGGAGATAAAAAGTAGATTAGTGGTTGCCTAGGGCTGAATGGGGGAATGGGGGAATTTGGGAGTGATGGTTACAGGGTATGGGGTTCCTTTTAGAGGTGATGAAAATTTTCTAAAGCAAATATGGTGATGGTTGCACAACTCTGTGTACGTAATAAAAACCAGTGAATTTTAGACTTTAAATGAGTGACTTTTATGGCATGTGAATTGTATTTCAATAAAGCTTTTTTTTTTTTTTTAGTTGGAGTCTTGCTCTCTCACCCAGGTTGGAGTGCAGTAGTGTGATCTCAGCTCACTGCAGCATCTGCCTTCTGTACTCAACCGATTCTCCTGCCTCAGCCTCCCAAGTAGGTGGGACTATATGCATGCACCACCATGCCTGGCTAATTTTTGTGTGTGTGTGTTTTTCTTTTTTTTTTTTTTGGCAGAGATGGGGTTTTGCCATGTTGGGCAGGCTGGTCTCGAACTCTTGACCTCTGGTGATTCACCCACCTCGGCCTCCCCAAAGTGCTGGGATTACAGGTGTGAGCCATTGCACCTGGCCCTCAATAAAGCTCTTTTTATAAAGGTTTGCCCAGTTTGCCAGAAAGATGTGTATCATTTCTCCTAGTTTAAGTTCAAGGCTCCCACTTTACAGACTTTTCACTGATTACTAGCAATAGCAATTTGATCAGTCTTGTGCTCCTAGTACTATCCTTGTAATTTAGTTTACTACAGCTGGGCTTACCACTCATACTCATTAGCTATTGTATGTATGTGAGCAGAGATTGTCTAATATTAATTACTAATTTTAATGTCATCTTAATGCTGTAGTATCTTCTGGAAACCCAAATGCTCATTTATTATCTAGTGAGTACTGTTTTTAAGCAATCTATTATGATGCTTGCTATTCCTTTTATCCAGTATTATTCAAATATATAATGGGAGTGGGCATGTGGCTTATGCCTGTAATCCCAGCACTTTGGGAAGTCAAAGCGGGAGGATTGCTTGAGCCCAGGAGTTTTGAGACCAGACTGTGCAACATAGACCTTGTCTCTACAACAAATACAAAACTTAGCTGGGTATGATGATGCATGGCTATAGTCCCGGCTGCTCTGGAGGCTGGGTGGGAGGATTGCTTGAACCCAGGAGGTTGAGGTTGCAACGAGCCATGATCATTGCCACTGTATTGCAGCCAGGGCAACAGAACAAGACGCTGCCTCAAGAAAATATAAAGTCAAATATCCAATGGTTGTAAAGTTCTGCTTTATATGGCATAGAAGACGTATTTATATGTTTTAGAAAAGGATATACATAAATTTTTCAAATCCTTACAAAAATATGCTGATGTGTTGAGTTTGGCTTATATATCATTTAACAACAAAAGTATTTGTTGAGCATGTACTACATATATAAGTAACTGCTGAGCTCTATTAAGATACATTAAAATATCAAAAATATACCTATTCTTAATAATCTTATGGTCTAGATGGCAGAGTGATTTCAGAGACAAATGTGAAAAGTTCAGGATTAAATGTAATTAAAAGCATGAAAGTGAATTCTGGGGCTGTTTGGAAGATTGATATGGGCCACAGTTACTTGGAAAATCTTTACAGACAAATGTCATTTTCAGATAGGCTTGTTAAAAAAATTCTTGTTTTTTTAGGTACAATACTCAAAACATGAAAAAAATATATATCACCAATGTTCAAACCTGATTTGGCTAGAACTGGAATACAGTTGCCTACGGCATATTCTAGAGAAGCTAGAAAAGTCAAAATAATGGATAACAGAAAAGAGCCTCCGTTCTTCAATGACGATAACATGGGACCATTTTACTACAGACTTCATTTCTATGATACCATGGAGCTCTTCATTGAAACATTAACTGGAACATGTTTTGAGCTGAGAGTTTCACCCTTTGAAGCTGTTATTTCTGTGAAAGCAAAAATTCAAAGATTGGAAGGTACTCATCTTTCTTTGTGGGATATGAAGATTAAATTTGTTCATAATGTCTAGTAATTTTTAAATTATTTTAATAGAGACAATTTTAGACATATATGATGTTAGGAAGAATAAGACAATGAACCCCTGGTACTCCCTCTCTCCAACATTTATCAGCTCATGAACTATTCTGTTCCCATTGCTGTGTTCACCAGATTCCTTGGAAGCAAATCCCTGGCATTATGCTATGGTGTGCAATAATATTTTAGAATAGCTTTTAGCAAGTTATAGTGACGTGAAAATTGTGCCTTAACTATTTTATAGTTACTTTTAATGGGAAATAGTAATTCCCTTTTTACACTGCTTTGTAAATCCCCCCCCCTTTTTTTAATGTGGAGGTTTTCCGAAAAGAGTTTTTGGCTTACATTTACATATATTCAGAGTTCTCTTAGTATAGCAAGGGTGCTCAATAATGTGTAGTGTCTCTTTTGTAGTTTGTATATTTGCAAAACGTGCCTAAAAAGACTAATTTGTATTAAAATTAGTCTTTTTCTTTGCATTTTGCAGATGTCTGCAATAAGTAATGTTTGCCACTTATAGTTTTTAAAAATCCAGTTTTGGGTAGAAAATTAAATTGTTCCATATTACAGTAAATGGATCTTTCTTGATGGAACCAGCTGGAACTTGCTTGTAATATAAAGGTAGTGACTAGGATTGCCCTCCAGCTGGTATAAGTTCAGAATTACAGAAGGATGAGGAGGGTTAGAATTTTCATTTTTGTGAGGTCAAGGGTCGTGATATATGAGCTCCTGAATATTTGTAATTTCTCTAGCTCTAGGAGATCTACTGAAGTGAGTGGCTGGCCGAGTCCAGTGACCACATCAGCACATTCAGTAATGGCTCTTGACGCTTTTGTCTGCCCTAAATGATTTGGTGAGATCTAGAGTCATAATATAAAATAATAGTTTATTTTGACTTTCTTCTGCTTTGTAATTTATATCATAGTTTAAAGGATACCTTTTTTGGAACATGCAGATAAAATCCTCTTGTGTTCTAAATAATCTCTGTATTTTTTATCTCTTTAATGAATTTTAAATAATCTCTATGCAGCAAAAGCACTTTAGAGAGAATCCTGTTTCAATCTTTTTATGTCAGAAGAGTCAACTTGGGTTTAGAGGAGATTAAGAACTCATCCAAGGGAAGTATTTAGTTACCATGAGTCAGAACCAGAGTCAAGTTATAGATTCCTTGTCCTATGTAGGAGGAGACATTGTGGGGATAAAAGCAGTGGCTTTGTAGTTCTTAGGCAATTGAATCTAAGTCCAAAAAAACAAATACAGATATTTGGAAATTAAATAAGGTAATATGTAAAATACCTACTGTCTTAGTCTCCTGGAGCTGTCATAACAAAATACCGTAGACTGGTGACTTAAACAACAGAAATTTATTTCTCACTGCCTGAGGGCTGATGTCCAATATCAGGTTACCAGCATGGGCAGATTCTGGTGGGGGCTCTCTTCCAGGTTTGCTCGCTGCATTCTCACTGCATCTTCACGTGGCAGAGAGAGAGCATAATATCTCTTTTTACAAAGACACCAGTCACCACGAAGACTCCACTGTCATGACCCTATCTAAACCTGATTATCTTGCAAAGGCATCATCTCCAAATACCTTGGTAGCAGTAGGGCTCCGACATATGAATTTTGGAGGGGCACTGTTTAATCCATAGCACATATCGCTAGTTGTCAATAGCTCTTAATTACCCCTTCCTGTTTTCCTTCCCCATTCTCACACCCTTCACTCCTTCCTTCCTTCCTGCTCTGCACACTTGATCATAGTCTCTCTTTTTTTTTTTTTTTTTTCAAAGATGGGGTTTCACCATGATGGCCAGGCTGGTTTTGAACTCCTGACCTCAGGTGATCCACCCACCTCGGCCTCCCAAAGTGCTAGGATTACAGGCGTGAGCCACCACGCCCGGCCGATCATAGTTTCTTATAGCCCATGGGCAATGACAGTCATTCTGGTCTTTGAGAGGTTTCAAGAGGGTAGCCTTCATGAAAAGTACATTTTAAGCCCTTTCTGGGTGATCTTTATACCCTCAAAGACATTTAGGGTCACATGGTGTGCATCAGACTCTCCAAGTTAGAGGGATATGGAATAGGGAGGGCGGAGGTGAGGCTGCCTGGGTTCATCATGCTGGGAAAATGGTTGTTCTGCCAGACTGCTTTTCCTTTAGGGGAAGTTTTTGGTGAGTTCAGAACTAGAGACTGATGGGGAGAGCAGGGCGGATGGCGGGGCTAGTGGAGAAGGGGCTGAAGGAGTGTGCTGCATTAGGAACAAGGGGGCTGCAACAAGGGAGGAGCGGGGCCTGCTCAGGGACTTGCAGTGGCCTTGAAGGGACTGGAGTGCTGAAGCCCTGCTGCTTGTCTTCAGATTACTGGGTGCCCAAATTACTTAACCTCTCTTTATCTTAGTTGTCACAGTCTAAATGGGAAGAATAATAGTATTTATCTTAAAGGGTTGTTCTCAGGATTAAATGAATTAAAGGTGAAGTGCTTAGCAGAGCGATCCTCCTGCCTCAGCCTCCCAAAGAGCTGCGATTACAGACATGAGCCACCATGCCCAGCCCTCTTCCTTTGTTTACGTAGATGTGAGTTTCTAACCTACATTCTGTTTTCTGTGAATAATGTCTTTTTTTTTCCTTTGAGACAGAGTCTCACTCTGTTGCCCAGGCTGGTGAGTGCAGTGATATGAACTCAGCTCACTGCAACCTCTGCCTTCCAGGTTTAAGTGATTCTCCTGCCTCAGCCTCCCAAGTAGCTGGTATTACAGGTGCCACCTATTATGCTTGGCTAATTTTTGTATTTTTATTAGAGATGCGGTTTCACCATGTTGGTCAGGCATGAGCCACCACGCCCAGCTGAATAATGTCTTTTAACATTTCTTGCAATGTGGGTCTCCTGGCAACAAATTCCACCATGGCCGGCCCTCTTCTTTCTTTATGTAAAACTTACTTTCTGACCTACATCATTTTTTCTATGAATAATGTCTTAACATTTCTTGCAATATGGGTCTGCTGGCAACAAATTCCCTCAATTTTTGTTTATCTAAAAAGTATTTCTACTTCATTTCTGAAGGATAATATTGCAGGGTATAGAATTCTAAGTTGGAAGCCGGGCGCGGTGGCTCACGCCTGTAATCCCAGCACTTTGGGAGGCCGAGGCGGGTGGATCACGAGGTCAAGAGATCGAGACCATCCTGGTCAACATGGTGAAACCCCGTCTCTACTAAAAATACAAAAAGTTAGCTGGGCATGGTGGCGCCTGCCTGTAATCCCAGCTACTCAGGAGGCTGAGGCAGGATAATTGCCTGAACCCAGGAGGCGGAGGCTGCAGTGAGCCGAGATTGCGCCATTGCACTCCAGCCTGGGTAACAAGAGCGAAACTCCATCTCAAAAAAAAAAATAATAATAATCAAATAAAAAGAATTCTAAGTTGGTATTTTTTTTCAACACTAAATATTTTACTCCACTCTTTTCTTATTTGCATGCTTTCTGATGAAAACTCTGCTGTAGTAATTATACTTGCATTTCTGTATGTAAGATTTTTTTTCCTCTTTCTGGCCGATTTAAGGATTTTTGTCTTTGTCTTTGCTTTTCTACAGTTTGATATAATATGTCTAGGTGTAAATTTTTTGGTAGTTATGCTGTTTGGTGTTCTCTGAGCTTCTTGGATCTCTGGTTTGGTATGTTTCATTAATTTCAAAATCTGGGCCATTATTTAAGTATTTCTTATGTTTCATTTTTTTCTTCTGATACTCTAGTTGCAGCTTTTGAAATTGCTAAAACTTTTGAAATTGTCTTACAGTTAATAGATGTTTTTTGCATTCTTCTCTCTCTCTTTTTTTTTTTTTGAAACGGAGTCTTGCTCTGTTGCCCAGGCTGGAGTGTAGTGGCATGATCTTGGCTCACTGCAACCTCTGCCTCCTGGGTTCGAGTGATTCCCCTGCCTCAGCCTCCTGAGTAGCTGTATTACAGGTGCCCACCACCATGTCCAGCTAATTTTTGTGTTTTTAGTAGAGATGGGGTTTTGCCATGTTGGCCAGGCTGGTCTCAAACTCCTGATCTCAGGTGATCCACCCGCCTCAGCCTCCCAAAGTGCTGGAATTACAGGTGTGAGCCATTGCACCTGGCTTCCAAGTGAATTTTAAGATTGTTTTTGTAATTCTGTGAAGAATAACATTGGCAATTTGGTAGGAATGCCATTGAATATATAAATTGCCTTGGGCAGTATGGCCATTTTAATGATACTGATTCTTCATATCCATGAGCATGGAATGTTTTTTCCATCTGTTTGTGTCATCTCTGATTTCTTTGAGCAGTGTTTTGTAATTCTGATTGTAGAATTCTTGCACCTCCCTGGCTAGCTATATTCCTAGATATGTTCTTCTTTCTGTGGCTATTGTGAGTAGAACTGCATTTTTGGCTTGGCTCTCAACTTGTACATTATCAGTGTATAGAAATATAACTGACTTCTTTATACATTGTTGTATCCTGAAATTTTGCCGAAGTTATCAGATCTAGGATCTTTTGGAAAGAGACAGGGGTTTCTAGGTATAGAAGTTTATAATTTGCAAGTAGAGTTAGTTTAACTTCCTTTCTTCCTATTTTGATGTCTTTTATTTTTTTCTGTTGCCTGATTGTTCTGGGTAAGACTTCCAGTACCATGCTGAATAGGAGTGGGAAGAATGGGCATCCCTTCCTGTTGCAGTTCTCAAGGGGAATGCTTCCAGCTTCTGCTATGATGTTGGCTATGGGTTTGTCATAGATGGCGCTTAATATATTGAGGTATGTTCCTTTTAACTAGTTTGTTGAGGGTTTTTAACATGAAGGAATGTTCAGTTTTATCAGAAGCCTTTTCTGCATCTATTGAGGTAATCACATGATTTTTGTTTTTAGTTCTGTTTATGTGATGAATCACATTTATTGATTTGTATATGTTGAAGCAACTTTGCATCCCAGAG